GGGTGGGGTGGGGAGGTTTAATTGGGCTTGGGTTGGGCCGTAAGGCTGGATTCGGGTTATGTTGGGCTGGAGTGGTTTAGTCTTAGATGCTAGGTTAGCTTGAACCTTTAGGGTTGATCGAAGTTCTTTTCCGGATGGGTTTAAGGCCAATGATCTTGGATTTGGGGTCAAGTGAAATTGGTTATGCTTGGGTGGTTAGGTTAGACTTATTGATTGGTGGGCTGGACTTGAAACTTTGGGCTTTGGATTGAGGTAAGTTCGGATTCAACCCACGCAACCCCAGTAGGTCTTCTTCCTCTTTGGTTTAGGAGGCTGAAAATAAGACTAACGCTAGCCCCTCAAAACTTCAGACAGCATGAAATTGAGATGGCGGCAAACGTTAAGGCAGGAGGCGGGGCGGCGGCAAACAAAGAAGCTCTATTTTTTTTCCAGAGAAGTCTGTTTTGAATTTTCTGGTTTATAGTGCTAGAAGTAACTTATTGAGGGGCTGAAGTAGTGGGTTGGGCTGCGCGTTGGATGCTAGTGGTGGCTGGATAGTTAGATGAAAGCAAATGTTAACCATGATGATGATATTGGCGTGAGGGTTTGATTTGGGATATGGGTTCATTCACACAATGGAAACAAAAGGTAAACAATGGGGTTTGAGTGATGTTTCTGAGCAGTAGAGTTTGTATGACAATGGTGGATTTGGTTGGATGTTTCATATGGATCAAATTTTTGCTTTGATAGCAATTTGATGTAGCCAAAGGGGAAGAATTATGAGATGAGAAGAGAAGAACAAGGGGATGAGAAAATCAGAAGAATGAGAAGAGAACTTGGGGAACATAATATCAATATTCAATAGTAATCGTAGTCTTCCTAAACAAATACCACATCCCCCATATATATAGGGAATACAAACCCTAAAACAAATAAATAGTCAAAATGACAAATAAGTTCCAAAAAGTAAAATGACAATTAACTTCTAATCCCTACGTCTATGCCTACTATTACGAAAAACAATTCGATTCCTATCACTTATGTATAAAACTCTACTACAAGAGAATGACTAGAATATCCCAATTGATACAATCTTAGCAAGATGTATACGACCAACGATAAATATGCATTTTTTTTTTAAGAAATAGAGTTTGTGGGTTGCATTGGAGTGAACAAAGTTGGTGTGTTGCTACCAAGCTATTGAGCTAAGCATAGGTATGGATATGCAATACTGGTACAATATGATATGGATACCGCGATACGTAAAACTTGATAAAATAGAGTTTTCATTTTTACTATGATCTAATTATTTGTTTTAATTTGCAATATGTTCTTGAATAGCAATTCAAAAATAAGAAATTTGTACTTTCAATTAAACATGGATCATCTAATCATAGTATACGGACAAAGTGAAGTTTACTGATTAAAGGAACTAGAACTAACATTTAAGTAGTTGAGTTGCTTAGAAGTAATTGTTGCTAAGAAATGCGGTGTAATGAACCTATTTTATGTCCTTTGAAATATGATAGTATATAATACTTAAAACACACCAACCTAATGTCCAAGCCATATGATTTTTTTTTTGGGTATCATTGTATTTGAATAAGAGAGGAAACAGTAAAGGTTAAAATTTAAAGTTTACACATATTGCTTTGCGAATCTACTTCCTTATCCGAAGGATATTTGTTTTGGATATCCATATCCAAGACATTTCCAGAAATAAAGAGATATTTTATTAATATAGGACAGACAGGTAGGAGGAAATGCAGATTAAGCGCCTTTTCTAATAGCAATGAAGCATGCATCTCCCTCCATTGCTCGTCACTGGGATGCTTGCAAACGTTCTTCATCGAGACCTTAGGTTGTTGAGGGTCCTCTGTCATCAAAGTGTTATGGTGACTGATAGATTGATCACATCAGAGAGGCACGGAAGAGCTTTCGTCGAAGTTGGACGCACTGGTTGCCTCTCTTCAATCGCTTGGAGTGCGTGATTTAGGGCCGGAAGAAAATTAGGTCATTTTTGTTAACCCATATCTGAAAGCTGAACCCTTATTTGGAGCTTGACTTGAATGGATCTCCTGTCGAATAATTTGGAACCTAGATTTAATGGGTAATTTATGCAACCCATTACTAATTTGAAGCCCATATGATGCCTTAGGCCCTTTTGAATCCGAACTAGCAGATGCTACATTTAACATATGTGGACCCATCTTCTTTACTAAAGATCTAGGAAGCACGGATACTCGCCGGAGGGTTGATGTGGCGGTGTCGGACACGTGTCTTGATAAAAAATAAAAAATAAAAAATTAATCGGATATGGGAGGTATAAGGTACATGACCTTCTTCGATCTCTTCTTCGAATGTCAGCCACAGATTTGAGACTTGTATTGACAAATTTTTCTTCTTTGAACTTTTCCTCCGCTTCTTTCCTTCTTTTTCTCTCGTTCTTATACTACTTCTTAATTCTCCAGTGTGCTTCGATCGATGCCATGGCGATGTGGGTGAGGTTGAGTAGCCAGCTTGCCCCAATTCAGTCTTACTCTTTTATTTTTTATTTTCTAATCAGCCACATTTTTATTTTCATGTTCTCTCTGTCTCTGACATTAAATTTCAGTTTTTAAAAAAAATCATTTTTCTTCTTTTTTGGTATAATTTATTTATTAATTGTCAAATATATTAACCCACTATTCAATTTGGTATTAGCCCGTCCAATTGTAACATATTAGCCCATTGCCTAATTTGATATTAACACAATGCCCAATTGTAAAATATAACCAACTGCTCAATGTTTCTTAGGTCTTGTTATTAATGTTTTTATTTATATAAAAAATATATAATATTATTTTAATTAATTGTATCCTTGTCGTACTTGTATCATATATTTTAAAACTTTGTCGTATCCTTGTGGTAACATTGTATTGGATATAACACCTGTGTCCGTATCCGTGTCATTTTTAAACTCTGGCTCGCTCTGCTCTGTAACTTTAAAATCAGACTTTAAAATTTTGAAAATTTGACTATCTTTTAATTTTGTAAATCTTCTAACTTTCCTACCCAAGTCTTTCCTTCTATAACCAGAATCTCTCGACATTTCATTCCTATTCTGAAATCTACTTTCCTCCCATCTCCATGGTTGATCTTCTTTGGTTCTCATCCTCCCTGGCTTACCACTTTGAGTTCTCAATCTACTAAAAACTGAATTTTGTTAACTATAAGAACAAGTGGATTTTCCGACTACTCAAAATTGATGATTGGCTTCATGAAATGCTTCATCACTCGCCATATTAGAAATACAAAAATATCATTCAAAACACTCATTGATGGAATATAATTTATTGCCGCTCTAATCAAATTCTCGCACACTTCATATCAATATTGAGGACTGGGACTGGTTCAAAGTCGTAGTATCAGTTATCAACTTAGAGGACATTGTTACACATCGATTGCGAAACAGTATTGGTCGATACGCTCAAAATGCTAGATAGAAGTTCCAAAAAAATTTGAAGAATGCATCATGTATCCATAATACATTCAAAAACACATTAAATATAATTAAAATGAAACATAAGGGCATTATCGAAAATAATTATCATTATTAGTGTTCAATTTAAGCATTTGATTTGTAATTTTTGAAAGTTAAGTTAATTGTTACTAGTTAGGTTCTAATTGAATTATATAATTAGAATTGGACCAAAAATTGACATAGTGGATCTTGGATCTTTGGGAACCAAAAAAAAAAAAAAAAATTTAAAACTAATACATGGGTCTCGGTTTGAGACTTGCGTTAGAGAGAGAGAAAGAGAGAGTTGGGTCCTTGGCAACCAAAAAAAGAGGGAAAAATAATTAAAAAAAACTTAAATACAAAGCCTCTATTCGTGATATATGTTCAGTCGCGAGAGAGAGAGAGAGAGAGAGGGTTTGGCTGGTCACTGAGAGTGCGAGATGGAGATGATGAGATGGTGCTTCAGTTTTGTTGCTTGCTGTAAATGACTGGGGTCTCGACGAGACGATGCTAGTTTTTGATGCCAAGAAGGGGCTTTCTATGGACTCTGTATTTTAATTTTCCAAATACCTGATCTGTTTATATAATAAGGAAAAGGGGGAAAATGGGAAAAAGGGTTTGATTTAGGGTTCAAATCTGCACAAAAGTACAAAGTGCATGTGGGTTCTGATTTCTAAAAGGTTAATCTGCTTTATTTTCTTGTGGGTCATCTGATTTTCTATTTTTGGCATGTTCCATGCTGTAATCTCCTATCATTTCTTTTTCTTTTTGTTTTGGCTGTTCTCTGGTCTGCAAGTGTTGGGTGAACNTTATTTTCTTGTGGGTCATCTGATTTTCTATTTTTGGCATGTTCCATGCTGTAATCTTCTATCATTTCTTTTTCTTTTTGTTTTGGCTGTTCTCTGGTCTGCAAGTGTTGGGTGAATGACTTGGTTCGAATCGGTGATTGATCGAGTTTTACCGAGTTGAAACCGATGCAAAGAAGAATCAGGATTTTTTGTCGAGGACTATGGTGGAATCAATTCTCACAAATACTCCAACATAATTTCCAATGGCAATGAAAAACTCATTACACCAAAGATGTGATGGAATGCCAATCAATTGAATCCATGTATTCTCCAGCTCCACACTCCTACATAAACAACCAGCTCAATGCACCCATTTGTCAAGCTACAATGGAATTCCTTTTAAATTCCAATCTTGTAAATTCAAAATCCATATTTCTTCCTTTACCGATTTGGAAAAAAACATGAATAGTGAGTTGGCCATTGGAATGACTTTCAGACCAACTGACCCCCATTTTAGATTTGCCTATCTGCTTACTTTCTCAATCTTTGGTGGCTGTGAATTGAGAACACCAAATCTTCCAACCAACTTCGACGCCAATCCTCACACCTAAGCATGCAAGATTCAGCATCCACATTGAACTCCCCATTCTTATCCACATAAATGGATGAAGGTACTGCAAACCTCTCTCCTGTCTTCGCAGCTACCAAATACGAGTTCTTTATCTCTGTTATATAACATGTTCATCTCATGTTGAACACTTCAGATTGCCTTCCTTTGCAATATTGCTGGACCAGTTCGATATTTGATCTGCAATTGCTTTTTGTTTGTGCAGCAACTACAGCCATTGTAGATCCTCAAATGCATTCGTGAGATAATCAAGTTCCTTGTCCAGATCATTAGTGGCTTGATCATATGCCTGCATAGGCAAAGATTGGCTACTATGATTTTGTATTGAAGAGGTGAGGCAACTTGTAACCAGTGAAGAGGACATTCTCGTCCCTGTGCAGTTGCATGCGAACTTTGTTTCCAATGGTGTGGTCTTCTTTCTCGATTGTGAATGAACCTGTATTTATCATCTTTGTGTCCCTCTCGTATGGCACCTTTTTGGTGCTCTCAGGAATGACAAATCGCTTGTAATGATTGGGGGCATTCATGAACTTTTACCTACACGTGATAAAGAAACCTATGTAATTGTTTTTAGTCAGGTTTTAATTGTGGATATTTTGGGTATTGTTGCTTCTTCCTAATTCTTATTAGTTCTTCCAAGTCTTTTCTTCCTTCTTAATCTTCTGTTCTCTCCCAATTCCTTGTTCTCAGTCCACATCAACATGGATTGGCAACTCCACTAGGGAAAAGTTTTTAGGAGGGTTGAGTCGCATTGAAATTCTACATTATTTCCACCTCTAAATCAAATTCGGTTCTCTATTAAATAATAAGCATTTTCATCATGAATGATTGCTTTCAATATCTGCACATCCTTTTATAAATGATTGTACCAAAGCTAATAACTAATGAAGAGCTTAATGGAAGTTTTAGATATCAACAACTTAGTTTTCATAGTTCGTATCTAGAATTAGTGCAGAATATTGGGATAGACATGAGGGATATGAAATGGTCATTATCCAGCTTGGACCCTGTTATCGCGGTTGATAGGGCGTAGATTGGGTCCAGCCCTAACCTTCTAAATTATTTACACATAGTGGCTACCCGCATGTTTAAATTCAGATTCCCATGATTGTTAGTCCCACACTTTTACCGTTTCACTAGCAATAACCACTGGGACTGGTAGGAGATCTCAAAGAGAAGTGGCCACCCATTAGAAATCAATCCAAACTAGTAAAAAAGAGTTGGCAAAAGTTAAAAAGAAATGTTAATGATATTGGTTCAAAGTCTCATGGGATGCAGGGTTTTTATGACAGTTATTTGAAGTTTACATAGCCTTCTGTAAGAAAAGAAATATCTAGTATCTGGATTATTAGTGGGTTGAAATTAAGCATGCTTCAGTTCAGTTTAACATCAATTCACTTACTTTGGTGTCGTGGAGATGTTTTTTTCCCCTTAACTCTTTTTCCAGCACCGAGTTTTAATACATCTTAGCTAAACTATAGGATTGGGGATTACGTGATGGAAACAATCTTAGTGGTGGGCTCCTTTGCTGAACAATGTGGCTTTTTTGGCAACTGCTTCTGGTATATCAATATTTGACAGGTGCATTGGTCTGTAAAGGATTGAATTGTAGGGTAGAATTCACAGGGAATTGTATAAATATGGCTCCCACTGCATTTTGTCAACCCTTTGTTCTTAAAAGAGTTATTTATGCCATCATCAAAAGAGTGAATACGGACCATAAGTTTGGTGGTCAGTCAGCACAAGATTCTATCATTAGTGTTGTCCATTAGGTTAAGAGAAGTTTGGGTGATACAATGAAAAATATCAAGGTGCGTTTTGGTAGTGGGAAGATGTGGTAAGGTTATGCTTGAGTTTCCCACATTTGTATGAGAGTGTGAACTAGGACTAATATACATGGTTGGGTCCCGATATAAGACCTAAAGCTTTTGAATCACGTTAGGTCCCGTTGTCTAAATGAGTGCTTTTGGATGGACTCCCCATGACTCATTAATATAATTAGCTTCTTTAACAATGAAGTCTTTTTAGTCCAGCATGCCATTTACCTTTTCTTTCATCATGAATGCTAATGAGGCATATTTCTTATGTATGTTGCAGTCTCTGCTTTGTGATCCAAACCCGAACTCCCCAGCGAATTCTGAAGCAGCTCGCATGTTCAGTGAGAATAAGCGGGAGTACAACAGAAGAGTGCATGAAATAGTGGAGCAGAGTTGGACTGCCGACTGAAATCTCAACTGAAGCACAACCCTATGGGGAAGGAAAAAAACAATATTCTGAAGTGTTGTTTGTGATGGAGTTGGTAGTTCTATTGTGTACTCTTCCCCTTCATGTACTCTATATGATAGGCTTTCATGTGCATTGAGCTCAGAAAATTGCTTTGAATAGCTTGATTACTGCCTTTAGACAGCTTTTCTAAAGCTCTTGATTTTTCAGTGGACTTTCCTGATTGTTCAGTGCATGGTATTTCATGTATCTACTGTCAGGAGTGTTGTTGTAGCCTGTGCATAGGAAGTATTGTTGTAGTTGTAATGTTTTAAATGTATAACATGGTCTTAATGTGTTGCTTCGATCAGAACTTCTCCCCCCAAATACGTGAACTTCGTGTACTGCTTAGAAATTCTTTATTTGTCTGATAAGTAGGTGAGCTTTATTGTTTGTTATGTGGAAGCTCTTGCTTGGGGAAACAACCCAAACTTGTAGAGATTTAGGACTTTTTTGGTTTGCATCTTAAAAAATAGTATTCGAAAATAATTTTTGAGAAGAGTTTTGGAAAAATTTTATATTGCAAAACCTGTTTAGTTATATGTTTTTGAAAATAGTTTTAAAGAACAAAACAATTGTAAAATTCTACACCGACGCGCGCGCACACACAAACACAGACGCACACAAATCTGAAGCTGAATTCAGTAGTTGTGAGAGAGAGAGAGAGAGAGAGCTCGGTGAGAGCGGTGGATAAGTTGAATAACCTCTATTTTTTTTGTTTCCAACAAAACTCGAACGGGAGATATCATTAATTTGGAGATAGGTTGTTTTTAGTGTTTTCATTTTGCCTTAAAAAATAATGAGAATTATTTTGTTGTTCTTTAAAATCATTAAGCAGTAAATAGGAGAAAGAGAAAAAAAAGTAAGTAGTAAATATGAGAAAGAGACAAATGACTTATCAATTGAGGCGTGAGAGAACACTGCCCTTCAGGATAAATTTTGCCACTCAAAGAACTAGTCTCGGTACAGTAGATCAACAATGCCTACCCTCCAAGATACAACAGATACAACAATGGTTTCTTACAAACGTGTACTCGTAATGTGAGCTTAAGAGCAACATTGACTTAGATTTCCCAAAAAATTTTTGGAGAACAAAATAAAGAAAGCGAATAAAGATAGAGAAGAAGAGAGAATGTTTGTTCAGAGGTTAGTTTTTTGCTTAGGAATGATTTTAATTTATAGGGAGAGAATTCCTTCAGAAAAGGAAAGTAGAATAAAATTAGCAGAGTTAATTGAGCTGTACCGACAAGTTAATTGGTCAACACAATTAACACATGTAAAAAATAAATTCGTCCATTAATCAAAGTAATAAATATGGGATTGAATTTTTGATAGCAGAAAAATATGTGACAAAAATAAATGGTCAGAAGAAAAACTTGAGTTCGATCATATGCACTCGCGAGAACCCACATCCAGGGTTTTGCAACCCCCTTCTGTGCACTAGTCGTCCACAACGCGCCCGCTAAATTGGTTTCTAGAATGATTTATCCAAATTCCTTGAGCCTCCACAAGGGTTCATGCGTGCGAGAGTACCATTATATCCTATCCCATGTAGTGCAATAGTATATAAAGTGAAAAACCTTTTGTTTTCTAATCAATGTGGCATTGAAGCAAAAGAGAAAGATAGCTTCAAAAGTGACGAACTCAAATGGGTACAAAACAATAAGCTTTTTGGCTTCTGAAATACTATCACTAATTCAAGAAATACAATAATCGCCCACATATTTCAAAAGACAATAGAGAAGATTTGGGCTAATCAAAGAGAGTACAATTGCATATGGTGCCTTTTGGGCAATGAACTAGACCTAGGTTGTGTAAGTTGTGATTCACTGAACTAGGGTGATAATTACATTTTCTATGAACAATAAATCCTGGTTGTAAACCAACAAACTGACCTCCCACATAGTACCCTTACTAGTTAGGTTGTTCAACGCAGGTTGGTGCTAATAGGCCATGCACCCCACCTGGAGATTCATGAGTGCTCTAGAGAGTTTGCCTAAGTTCTCATAGAAGCGGCTTCACTTCACACTCATATGGGAGAATCCATCAAGCATAAATTGCAACTAAACACACCACCTATAAGGGATATGGAATTCATTAAGGGCATAGCTCNTTTGGTTTGCATCTTAAAAAATAGTATTCGAAAATAATTTTTGAGAAGAGTTTTGGAAAAATTTTATATTGCAAAACCTGTTTAGTTATATGTTTTTGAAAATAGTTTTAAAGAACAAAACAATTGTAAAATTCTACACCGACGCGCGCGCACACACAAACACAGACGCACACAAATCTGAAGCTGAATTCAGTAGTTGTGAGAGAGAGAGAGAGAGAGAGCTCGGTGAGAGCGGTGGATAAGTTGAATAACCTCTATTTTTTTTGTTTCCAACAAAACTCGAACGGGAGATATCATTAATTTGGAGATAGGTTGTTTTTAGTGTTTTCATTTTGCCTTAAAAAATAATGAGAATTATTTTGTTGTTCTTTAAAATCATTAAGCAGTAAATAGGAGAAAGAGAAAAAAAAGTAAGTAGTAAATATGAGAAAGAGACAAATGACTTATCAATTGAGGCGTGAGAGAACACTGCCCTTCAGGATAAATTTTGCCACTCAAAGAACTAGTCTCGGTACAGTAGATCAACAATGCCTACCCTCCAAGATACAACAGATACAACAATGGTTTCTTACAAACGTGTACTCGTAATGTGAGCTTAAGAGCAACATTGACTTAGATTTCCCAAAAAATTTTTGGAGAACAAAATAAAGAAAGCGAATAAAGATAGAGAAGAAGAGAGAATGTTTGTTCAGAGGTTAGTTTTTTGCTTAGGAATGATTTTAATTTATAGGGAGAGAATTCCTTCAGAAAAGGAAAGTAGAATAAAATTAGCAGAGTTAATTGAGCTGTACCGACAAGTTAATTGGTCAACACAATTAACACATGTAAAAAATAAATTCGTCCATTAATCAAAGTAATAAATATGGGATTGAATTTTTGATAGCAGAAAAATATGTGATAAAAATAAATGGTCAGAAGAAAAACTTGAGTTCGATCATATGCACTCGCGAGAACCCACATCCAGGGTTTTGCAACCCCCTTCTGTGCACTAGTCGTCCACAACGCGCCCGCTAAATTGGTTTCTAGAATGATTTATCCAAATTCCTTGAGCCTCCACAAGGGTTCATGCGTGCGAGAGTACCATTATATCCTATCCCATGTAGTGCAATAGTATATAAAGTGAAAAACCTTTTGTTTTCTAATCAATGTGGCATTGAAGCAAAAGAGAAAGATAGCTTCAAAAGTGACGAACTCAAATGGGTACAAAACAAGAAGCTTTTTGGCTTCTGAAATACTATCACTAACTCAAGAAATACAATAATCGCCCACATATTTCAAAAGACAATAGAGAAGATTTGGGCTAATCAAAGAGAGTACAATTGCATATGGTGCCTTTTGGGCAATGAACTAGACCTAGGTTGTGTAAGTTGTGATTCACTGAACTAGGGTGATAATTACATTTTCTATGAACAATAAATCCTGGTTGTAAACCAACAAACTGACCTCCCACATAGTACCCTTACTAGTTAGGTTGTTCAACGCAGGTTGGTGCTAATAGGCCATGCACCCCACCTGGAGATTCATGAGTGCTCTAGAGAGTTTGCCTAAGTTCTCATAGAAGCGGCTTCACTTCACACTCATATGGGAGAATCCATCAAGCATAAATTGCAACTAAACACACCACCTATAAGGGATATGGAATTCATTAAGGGCATAGCTCAACCCTCAATCATTGCCATTTAGCACCGTGGACACCATAGGAAAAAGGACATAGGCAAAAGGGTTACATCGTTCACTAGGTCAACCAATAACTTCTTATTACCCTTATGAACCTACTTCATGGGGTCTCCAATCACATAGGTTGGGTTACCAGTACTCTTGACCCATGGCAATAGGTATAAGTTTCATTCCCCTAGATGTATCATGCAATAGTTTCTTAACAAGTGGCTTGGTCAAAGGATTTGCCAAGTTCATCTCTGACCTCACATATACAAGGGATATTATCCCATCATTAAGTAATTGTCTTACAACGTTGTGTCTTCGGTGTATATGCCAAGTCTTTCCATTGTATAATTGGTCTCATCTCTAAGAGTTTTCTAAGCCACTCAGCCTCACTGCATGCCATCTCCAAGGCAACAAACTCGGATTCCATATTGGACTGAGCTACAATAGTCTATTTGGCACACTTCCATGATACTACGCCCCCACCAGGGGTGAACATGTAACCACTAGTGAATTTTGTCTCTTCTTAATCACTGATCCAATTAGCATTGCTATACCATTCTAGTGCAATGAAAAATCCACTATATACCATAGTCCATGGTACCTCTCAAGTATCTCAACAATCTCATCAAAGTAGTCCAATGATCTGGGTTTGGACTATGTGTTTATATGCTAAATCTACTAACAACAAAAGCAATGACATGACGTGAATAATTCATCAAATGCATTAGAATACTAATTATTTGTGCATATTCAGATTGTGAAACACCGTAACACCCCAAAATCTACATTTAAAGGCATTAACTATCTATACATCATCTAACCATGAGACTATCTAAAATAATCATTAAATAAATCAATGTCAATCATTCACAACATCTAACTAAGCAAAATTCCAAATGAACTCAAAGCTATTGAGGTTTATATCCAAAATTGAAATAATAAACTTCCTACTAACTAACAAAAGAAATATTCCAAAATAGTATTGTAATCCATCAGAGTGAAGAAATGATAAAATAAAGAGAACATCTCTAAGTTTCCAAGTTTGGATGCACAACTTGATCCACATCTGTATCCCAACATACTTGCTCACCTAGTACAGGGTCTTCCTCAATACTGAGATTTGGAAAATAGATTTGTAATGTAGGATGAGCAATAAGTCTTGTAGGAAACCTTCTCAAACCCAAACAAGGTTTCAAAAATAATTAAAATAGGTTTGTCTCATTTGATAAAGTAACATATCATAATTTGAAGTAAAACCAGAACAATTAATGAGACCTGAAGTTGACAGTACCAGCAACAAAGTTCATAAAGAAGAAGGAACAATTCTCAAAACAATAATTAATAACCAAAAGTATATCTCATGTATGTAGGTAGACTAGCATCCAATCAATCCTTGCAAGGATACACCACTTTATGAAGGGCATATACCGACACATCGACAGTGACTAATCCTTCTCAAGAATAGTATTCTAGCCCCTAGCCTCGATCCTCATGAGCGAATAGTGAGAATTATTGAACCTTGCAAGGAACCAAGAATTCGGTTGCAAGTGATATGGAACATTCAAACCCTCAAGGTAAGAAATGCATCTAT